TTTTTTTTTTTAATGAAGAGCTTTCTCTTCTTTAGGCATGTTCACTTTATGAATTTGAGATGTGATATTTTTTAAAAATTTTTAACTGTAGCAGAAAAAGTTAAATATGACATTTTCTGAGGATTTTTTACTGTAGAAACATAAAACTGAAAACTCGAATCGGTGAAATGAACGAGGCTTTAGTTTACATTTATCTGAAAAATTGAAGAGTCACATTAGGAGTGATACAATCGTTTAGAATTAGTTTTAAAATAATTTTATTTTTAATAAAAAGTAAAAATGAGATTGTTTTAATAATCATTCTGAGACTGATTTTAAAATTGTGTTTGGTTAATTTTTTAAGAGATTGTTTTGAGTATAAAAAAAAGTGAAATTGTATTTATTAATTAATATATTATAATATTATTGATAAGTACTAAAAAATAAAAACAGAAAAGTAAAAATAACTTTTAATTATTTTTTTAATTTCTTCACAAAAATTATTCTCATTATTTTTATTTTTGTTTCAAAATATTTACTAAATAAACGTTATTTTATTTTTATTTTCATTTTTTACTTCTCGAAATACGTAAAAATCGTTTTAAAAAACGATTCTAAATTTGCACAATATAACAGACACTTCGAGGTCGCACGTGCACATGTGGGAGGTATATATGGTCAACTTATATATAAAAAATAATTTTTCATTAGATTTCTAATTGTACAGAAACTATTTCATTATCTAGTAAGTTCTATTTTTCTATTCTGCATGTCTTTGAAGTTCTTTCATAAAGACTTGTTGGGTTGAACATGTGCAGACGAATTTGGAATATTTGGTTATAGACAATCTGGTATGTGACGCCATACCCATTTACTTTTTTGTAATTTTTTTCTTGCCATGTTTATCGGTTTCATTTTCATCTGTCATTTTTTGTGCAAGTTTTTGTTACCAATGACGAGCTCGCTTTAGGGGAAGTTTTTGAGAATAATGAGGATACGCGCAAAGGTGATGCATAATTGAATCTGATGGCTGCTCGCATTGCTACTGTTTTTATACGTCACGAATAGTCAATACATTTATTGAATATCAACTGGTTCTAATTTTTTTGTTTTTGTTTTTTTTTTTTTTTTTGCTGCCAATTCTTTGAATCATTTTTGCTTTTACTTATAGGAATTTCCTGTCGTGCGCTATCGAGCTGCCAAGTCTCTTAATGCAACCACAGTGACAACTTCCCGTGATTTAATTCCTACAAAGCTTACACTATGTGTTTGACTGTCTTATGAAATACCAATCCCAACTTCTTTCCAAAGACAGAAACATGCGAGTTATTAATCCTTGACAGATCCATAGATCAGGTTTTTAAGTGCATCTGTTGGTTATAAATTACGTCCATCGCTTGTTGCATCGTTATATCTGTTGTATTAAATGATCTAGAGTTGCAAAGGAGGGGCAGGGTGTAGAAATAAAACAAGAAGAAATCCTAGTGCAGCTTAGGGTTAAAATTTTATCTTTAACAAAGTGTTATTTGAATGTGCAGCTTAGGGTTTGCCACAAGCTTACGACCAAGCTGAAGAGGCAAATTGTTCTAGGATCCTCAACTCTTGATGATCCTGCAGCATTTATAACGGTAAGTGTAACCAAATATGCTTTTAATAAGAAATGATAACCAGGGTCTAAATTTTCTTAAAATCGAGCTGTGTTTTAAATTTTGCAGAAGATGAAATTGCTCAAAGGGCATAAAGATGGTTGCTCGACAAGTGATTTACTGATCTGACTGTATGGGTTTACCCACTACCAACAAAACAACAAAAAAAACACAAAAAAATAGAGTTCTTAGGAGTGTATGGTATCTCCAAGAGTGTTTACTTCTCCAAGACTCCTCTAAGTTCTCTATCCAAAAATTTGAGGACAATTCACCCCAGCGCACCCAGACTTTTGTAAATCTCGTCCTTGACCCCTCTCTCTAACAGGGTTCATGGGGGAGATTAAATTGCTGGCGTGGCCGGATGTCGCTCACGTGGACAAATGGAAAAGTGCCCGTTTGGCGTCCATTTAACTATGGAAGAACTATGTTTTCTTCCAATGTTCTTGACCATATAGCAACTTAAAAAAGAAGGCATTAATCGTCTTTAATTAAGTTCTCAATCGAGAAAAAGTCCAAAAATAATTTTAGCATCAATTCCTCAAAAAATGAAAGGGATTTATTTTTTATTTTTTATTTTTTTTGCTGTTCATATATTCTGAACATGACAAGAGAAGAATCAAAGGTCAATACTATAATAGCAAACTTAGCAGAGTGCCTCTTCAGCCATGATACCTCACCCTGGTTCAATTTTAAGCCCTCAAAAGCTCAGTATGTACCAAATACTAACATCCTCATAATAAGTAACTACTAATTGCCTCCACTAACCACCAAAGTTTTTTATGCACCAACTCAAACCGCTAGTTAGCTAGTAATACATCATGAAATATACGGGCTGATAAAAATATGCAAACAAAGCCATAATAAAATGAGAAGGGTGATCTATACTTTAGCCTCTTCTTTCGACCCTGGAGGCAAGAAGGGTTCCCACCAACCAAATTCGTACTTTGGATATGGCGCCACCCACTTCTCTGGCTTCTCAAACTGGAGATCCGTAGGATTAGAAGATAACGCCTTTTCAAGACTCTCAGCTTCATAGCTCTCCGATAATACTCTGTCCAATCTCAATTTCATGAACCTGCACACCATGGCATACCATCAGTGCTTTGATCCTAATACTTATACATAACCATCCAACAAGTAAACCCAATTATCTTTTCAAGGAAACAAATAAACAAAGTTGTGTTTTCAGTGTAGATTCAGACTAGCTAACGATACTTGTGCACAACATCAATTTAAATAACCAAATTTTCACAGGTTTGTAATGCAGTTCTGTAACACAAGCCCCTTAAAATATCGGATTAATTTCATTTCATCTCTGATTACAGGTGTTCCAAACTTTCAATTTGCAATCTCCAAAGTCCTAAAACTCGAAAATTTATCTCAATTTGCCTCCCTCATAACATTACATCAATCATTACAGACAAATTTTCAAGTTTAAGGATCGCGAATATAACAAGTTAAAACAGCATAAATAAGTGGAGTCAAATTTAAAGCTTTGTCTGCAGCTAACATTTTGTTCAACACGAGAAACATTTTTTTTTAATGAGAAACATTGTTATACTACACGAACATAAAATACCAATATTCGAAAGGACGAACAAAAATTAGTACTGTGAAAAAAAAAATTGAGTGGTTTACGTGATCCAAGGGCCATTGGTGGAAACCAGAGCAACGGCGGGTCTTTTCAGTCGTTTTGTGATGTTTGGGAACTTATCCAAGAACTTGGGCTCAATCACCAGCCAGAAATCCTGCTCTTTGTTTCTCTCCCCATAAAGACGAAGCCTCTCGGACAGAAGCTCCTTGAAATGCTCCTCCTCGTCAAGCATGAATTTCGCATTCGCAACCACGAAATAGTACTTCTTCGGCTGTTCCTGTTACAAGGATTTCCAAAGTGTTAGAAAAGTAGACAGTTGATTTTTCGGAAGAAACGAGAAGAGCGCAGAAACGGACGTTTTCGGCGGCGTTGGAGGAGGTGACGCCGTCGGAATCGACGGCGGCGACGGCGGTCTTGAAGGAGGATTTGGCGGCGATTGGAGTTAAGGAGGCGGAATTGAAGGAGAAGAAGGAGTTGTGAGTGTAATTGGCGGACATTGGAAGTGATATGGATTTGTTTGTTTGGGTTTGGAGCTTATGGTGGTTGGCCATGGCCATGGCGGCCGATGACCAGCAACCTCGGCCGAGAGTCGCCATACCGCTCCTTGGTTGCGTTTGTCTTCCTCTTTCTTCTGGAGACGACTGTCAATGGCGGAAAGTTTTTTCAGTTTCTGTGTCTCTCCAGCTATACTAGGAGGAGATATGTAAGAGATAACACGCACACAACCTTATCTACTTTATCTATCTACGGCACCTCGTTTCGCAGATTTGAGTTTAAAATTTAAATTTTTTAACAGTAAAAAATTTTCATAAATAATTACATTTAATTTTTTTTATTATAATATAATACTCTCACATAAAGTCACATCTCAACTCAAATTAAAAACTTAAATCAACGAATTAAACGGGAAGGACGTTTGGTTGGAGGATTCAAATTATGTGATTCGAATAATTTTCAATTTACGTGAATTTTTTATGAAAAAAAATACTGTAACGAACTACAAATCATGATTCGAATTAAGGAACGAATCCCTCTACTAAACATCCTCATATTTATCTAATATTTTTTAATTTACTTACTTTTAAACTTTATTGATTTAAAAAATTTAAACGAAAAACTGTTTATAGTCTTAAAGCATTGACAAGATTGTTAAAAATGCATAAATAGTACATTTTTTTAAACAAAAAATTGTACTGTCCGTTGAAAATATTTGGCCTTGTTTGTTTCCGTTTTCATTTTCATTTTTCACATTTTTTGAGACTAAAAAATGAAAACGGAAACATAAAATGCGTTTTGTGTAAAAATTTTTAAAAAACAAAAACAAAAACGTTTTTGTCTTTTCTGAAAAACTGAAAACGAAAAAAATGTGTTTTCATTTTCACATTTTCGTTTTCTGAAAACGAATTTCATTTTTTTTTCTTCTCTCTCTTCTCCAGCTAAAGAAGACGCTGGGACATCCGACGAACCCCCTCTTCCGACTGACATCCCCACCCCTCTATATTTAATAATATTATTTATTCAATATATTATTAATTTAAATATTATTACATTTTTTTAAAAATTAAACCACTAAACGCAGTTTCAGTTTTTTTTAAAACTGAAATCAATCTCTAAATAAAACTACCAAACGCATTTCAGAAATAATTTCAAAATGAAAATGAAAACGTTTTCATTTCTATTTTCATACAGAAAATAAAATCAGTTTGGAACCAATTCCAAACGCACCCTTTGGCATTTTTTTTTTCTTTGAAGGGATTCATGGAAATAGAGCACATGGGGTCTTAAGTTCACTTGAAGAATCAGATAAAAGAAAGTTCACTTAAAAGAAAGGAAGAGCTATAGCGGATTGTGTTTTTGTCAGTTTTATTGAAGATGAACATTTACCAACCTATTATTAACACATCAAATTACTTAAAAATGACAACTCCAAGAACCAAATAATAAAAATCATTAATATTGGCCCCGTTCACTTTACTAATTCGAGTTTAAAATTCGAGTTTTACTACAGTAAAAAGCTCTCACAAACAATCATATCTAACTTTTTTGCTACAGTAAAAAGCTCTCACATAAAATCACATCTCAACTCGAATTACAAACTCGAATCAGCGAAATGAACGGGCTCATTGTTATCTTATTACAATAATAATACCTCCTAAAAAGATCTGCTAACTTCATATCATTGTTCCAAAGATCGAAACGACCTGCAATAATAATAATAATAATAATAATAATAATGATAATAATAAATTGAGAGTGAGAGACACATTTGTTTGCCATTTATCAATCAAGCTTAGCCTATGATCAATGGAATTGATTTTGGGGCTTTCATCCAAATGGCAATAACCTTTCAATACCACCTCATGGTTTTGGATAACAAACGATTTTTTAGATTGGAATGCACAATGATGGTTCTTCCCGAAATTTTTCATAACAGAATTAAGGACTAGTGAGCACCAAGCCCTTCGACATACTAACTTTTGCAACAAAGATGACATCCATTTTATCACAGATTCATAGTTAAGCACTGCAAAATCTGGGAACTCTTTGAAGTAGAAGAAAAAAGAATTTTGTTTGACTTGACAACAAAATACATTTCCTAGCTGAAAATTGTCATTAGGAAGCAAATCCAAGACATTGGTTGCAAGCAGATGCAATAACAATCAGCAGCTAGACAAGCTCAACGTAAGCCATAGGTGCATTATCCCCTCGCCTGGGCAGAGTTCTGATGATTCTTGTGTAACCTCCATTCCTCTCCCCATACCTCTCCTGAACCTCAGCAAACAAGGCATGGACAATCTGCTTCTCGTAGATGAACCCAAGAGCTTGTCTCCGCTTATGAAGAGACCCATCTTTCGCCAGAGTGATCATCTTGTCAACGTACTTCCTCATCGCACTCGCCCTTGCTCTTGTAGTCTTTATACGACCATATTTAAGAAGCTGAGTTGTAAGACCTCGCAGTAGTGCTCGGCGTTGGTCTGGGGGCCGATTGAGTTTTGGAACTCGCCTCCCATGTCTCATGGCAGAAATCCTCCCACCATTGTCAATAATGGTAAAACAATGCTCAAAGCTGTTCATTCCTGACCAAGGAGGAAAGTAAGTTTTCACAATAACTTTTTAAGTCACAGGAAAACAACTCAATTCAGGAACAACAATGCAAAAGCCATAAAAAGATACCATGAGGGAAGAGAAACTGAGAAACGGAGGAAGCTTGGAAAAGGTGTTACTTTTAGGTGCTTGGTTAGAGCTTAGAACAAGCCATAAATAATCAATCTAATGCAAAAAATTAAAAAACATAAAAAAATAAATAAAAAACCAAGAAGAGGAAGGAACTAAGAAACATGGTCATATGGACCAATGGACCAAAAGACAACACTCATGAACTGCTTCAGAAGTCGGCCAAACAAACCTCCTAATGAAAGGGGAAAAAGAAAGTGAATCTCATTTGACTCATTAAATTCTGGTGATCTTAGCAGAGGCGTGGAGATATGATCCTCTTAATTATGTAAGAAACACCTTGAACCCCTGCAAAACAATTATCTAACCATCACAGAAATGGTCTCCAATCATCCTCAAAACTATTAAAGTCAAGCCTAAAATCTTGTTTCTCTTAAGAGGGTTGAGATGTATGGCACTTTCATCTATTTCAATTCTTCAGTCATTTCCAAAACCTTCATTATTTCGCTTTTTTTTTATGTTTTTCCAGAATTTGGGGCTGGGGATTCGAACTCAAAACTTCAATTTGAATGTGAAATTACTGCTAAGATCAAGTCTGCAACTGCAACCACTTTGTTATTCACTTTTGGTAGCTAGTTAGATCACTATATCCCATCCTTACGTCTTATCATTTAAAGTTTGGTGACTTAGAGTAAAGGGCAGATTAAAAACTTCACCTCTAACTTTTCCAATGCCATAAAAACCTAAACGAATCCTTGGTATCAAAACGAAAATCATCGAGAATCAGCCAAAAACAGCGAACTTCAACTCCTACAGCAAGTCTTTCAAATTGGGCACAAGCCCATCTAACACAAAACAACTAGAGAGTCCAAAGTATACAACTAACAGTACACATAGAGGAAAAAAAAAAAAGAAAGGAAAAAAAAACATTCTGCTTTTCAGGAAAAAAAAAAAATACACATACACACACACAAACACACACAAAATAATTAATCAGTAAATCTGATGTTGATATCTGAACGTTTCACTTCATGTCATTAAACCCAAAACAAAACGATAAACGAAAAGCAATAGACTTTAGTTTAGCACATGCAACAAATAAGGAATTCTGGTTTAAAAGAGAATAGGGAAATGGGTAGCTATTATTATTACCTGGAGAAGCAATGGTGAAGAAATGGGTAGACACAGGGGCAAGACCAGAGAAAGAGCGAAGAACCACCTTGGGCTTGGGCCGAGACTGTCTGAGCCCAGAGGGAGAGAAAGATGGGAAATTTGCAGAAGCCACGGGAAAGCGCAGCGAAGAAGAAGAAGAAGAAACGGAAGGAAGGGCTGAGTTCAGAGACCCCATGTTCCACGCACTCCCACTGCTACTGGGAGCAATTGCATTTGCGCAAAAACCCATTTTTCAGCTCCTTCGCTTTTCTTATGCTCCTCTCCAAATCGGTGGATGCGACTGAGTATTCAGAAATCACAGTGGAAGAAGCGGCTTGTCGTTGTTCGGTGGTGAGAGGATAAAGGAGAGAGAAAGGAACAGAGAGAGAGAGAGAGAGAGAGCTCTATCTGTTTATCAGAACGTTGGGCCGTGCGTGCCTATTGGCAATTTGATAATATTCGAAGGATTCGACCATGCTGTCGTTTCCTAGTAATTAATGATGTCGTTTCCTTTTTACTGATGTTTTCCACGATGTTGTCGTTTTTAATAGCAGTTGCCTTTGTAATGTTGTCGTCACGACAGAGACCTAAGCCCAAAACAAAAAATGATGTCGTTTCTTTTTTACTGATGTTTTCCACGATGTTGTCGTTTTTAATAGCTGTTGCCTTTGTGATGTTGTCGTCACGACAGACAACCTAAGCCCAAAAAAAAAAAAAAAAAAAAAAAAAAAAAAAAAAAAAAAAAAAAAAAAAAACAAAAAGAGAAGCAGGTAGGAAGGTTAGAAGTGAAGTCACAGAGCGAGAGGCCAAATGCTAAAGCACCCGGCGCTTCTACGGCTTCCCTCTCTCGCTCCCCAAATCGGCCGTATCTCCACCCCCTCATCCTTCGGTCTCCGCCGTATCTCCGCCGCCAAATTCACCACAACAACGGCAAGTACAAGCACGACTCTAAACTAAATTAAACTATATAGAAATCTTCCTTCTTCTTCCATTTTCATTTTTTTGGTCTTTGTTTTATACCAGTTCAATTCGCATTTTTCCACTGTACAGATGGCTGTGGAAAACTACACGTTTGGGCCTTACAAGATAGATAGCAAGGAAGTGTTCTACTCAACGCAATTATCCTATGCCGCGGTCAATCTCCGTCCTCTTCTTCCCGGTATCTACTTTACCCAATCAGAAACTAGGCACTTTCTTTTCATATGCCCACTTTCTTTTTGTTATTATTTTAGATATTAGCGCATGATCGGGCTGAAAATCGAACAAATCCAAATGGGATCGACTGATAAATTATGATTTTGGAATAGTCTTTAATTTTCCATGTACACTTTTTTTTTCCCCTCTTCATTTAATCATAATGAGACTAGCAGTGATTTTTTTCTTCCTATTTTCGTTTTGCAGGTCATATCCTTTTCTTGTTGAGATTCAACGATTGTTTTGGATTTGTAGGCCGAAAATTTTCTTTTTAGCAATAGGTCATCATATCTTTCCATAGCTAGAGATATGAAGGGGGAAAAAAAAGACCTTTAAAAGAAGTTCAAGTATTTTATTGATTGCATCATCTTTTTGACTATTAATATAAATGCATTGGGGATCACAGCTCTAAGGCAGCCGTCTAAACAATTATCAGGTGCATGTTTGCATTAAGTATGTGATGTTGGGAGGTTCATGTTTGCATAAGTATGTGATGGGATATTGGGTATGATGAAGTCACCCTGGACTAATGTTTCATTGGCATGTTAATTTACTTGTTTAAGTGTTTTTCCTAGTCTATTGATTGAAACATAGTCTTAGATTCTTAGGGTGCGTTTTGTTGGGGGGAAAGGAAGGGAGGCAATTATGATGTTTGGTTGGCTAAAAGATAAAGAATGACCATTTCCTTTGGAATGGCTTTTCACCTGTTTTGATGGAATTGTCATTCAATTTGATTGCCTTGACAATATGTACACGTGCTTGTCTGCCCAAGGCGTGAAGTGAAGCGCTTTGTTGATCTCACTGCTGAGGAGACTAGTGATCTGTGGATCACAGCACAGAAGGTTGGTAGACAGCTCGAGAGCTACCATAAAGCATCGTCTCTTACATTTGCAATACAAGTATGTCAGCCTATTTGTTGATGTGAATTCTCCTATTTCTCGATAGAATCTGTGTTTCTTTGCTTGAAAATTCCACCGAATAATTTCTACAGACTATGTATGCAACACTTTCGTACTGTATTTCTTGTTTCATACTTCCTTTACATTGCCAAATAATATGTCTAAAATTATGTTTTCAAGTGTCAACTTCTTAGAATAGCCTGCGCCTGCATTTTTTATTTTCAAGAGGAACAAATTTTACTGAGCATTTTCTACCACATTGCTAGTCAACTCAATCAAACGATGAAATTCTTTGCTTTTGAAAGAAACTGACTGCATTGGCTTTCTTTGAAACCTAGGATGGACCCCAGGCAGGACAAACTGTACCCCATGTTCACATACATATTATCCCAAGGAAAGCTGGTGACTTTGAGAAGAATGATGAAATATACGACGCGGTAAGATCAAAACTTCATCTAGTCTCTGAAATTGCTTTACACGCTTTTCACTTGGATATTTACTCCGTTTTGATCTAGTCTCTGAAATTGCTTTACACGCTTTTCACTTGGATATTTACTCCGTTTTGATCTAGTCTCTGAAATTGCTTTACACGCTTTTCACTTGGATATTTACTCCTCTATCATTGGTGTTGTAGATCGACGACAGCGAGAAGGAAATGAAGCAAAAGCTGGAATTAGATAAGGAAAGGAAAGACAGAAGCCTTGAGGAGATGGCACATGAAGCAGATGAATACAGAAAGCTGTTCGTGTAGACGTTACCATTTCTGCATTTTATATACACTTCAATCTCCCATTGTTGTTCGTGACATTATGAAATCTAGGCTTATTATGATAATAGTTTCTATACATCTGCTACATTTTTATCTTTTGGTAGCTTTTTTACATGCTTAGAAAGGCTTTGGACTTGCGCAATATCAACTTTGGATTTGCTATTTATTCTTGTTTATATTGGAGAGATCGGAGGAGTTGGGAGATGAAGGATTTGGTTGAGAAATTTTACAAGTGCTTCGCTTTTATCAAAAACCTGCTCATTACTAATCATCTATCAACTATTCCATATATTAAAAGGGGGAATCTGAAAAGGTTGACGAGCAGCAATGATAACTTGCAGTGATTCCCTTTCTATTTAGCTCTTATTCTTCTTATAAGTTTTTTAATCTAACTAGTTTGCTCATTGTACACGAGGAGTGCTAAGAAAAGTTGCTTGGACATTCTCTTGCTCATCACTCCCTCTCTGATTCCTCTTGACAAAATGATACTTTTGACAGGCCAAAAAAAAAAAAAAAAAAGAAAGCAAAAAACTACACACACAAATCTTCTCTTAGGATACTGGCAAGTAATAAATTTTACATTTAGGCTCATGCCTCATGAAAGAATTTGGTAGTAGGATATGAAAAAAAAAAGAGACCCTTTAATGATAGGTGTATTTTAACACAAAATTAAGTACCATAAAAAATAGAAGAAAAAAATAGAGAATTTACCTTTGAGAGTGTATGAGTCTGAACTTTTACCTCTTAGTCTTGATAAATATCCTTTTGTTAGTATAATTATTTAACTAAAAAGGTTTTGAATCAAGAATAAATAGTAAAAATTCTAATTTATATATTTTTAAGGGGTATTTGTCAAGATTATCCCTTTAGAAACTCTGATGAAAATTGACTAAGAACCTTATACTGTGGTAATAAAAGCCCAAAATTCCGATTCAAAACTTTTATTTGTGTGAAAAAATGGAGAATTTATCCTTAAAGAGTGCACGAGTCTGGACTTTTACCGTTTATTCTCAATAAATATTATTTTGTTAGTGTAATTATTTGATTAAAAAAGTTATGAATCAAAAATAAAAAGAAAAAATCTTGACATCAATACTTTTAAGAGGTATTGCCTCGTTCACTTCGCATATTCGAGTTGAGATGTGACATTTTTTTAGAGCTTTTCACTGTAGCAGAAAAATTTAGATGTGACATTTTCTAAGAGTTTTTTACTGTAGAAATCTATAACTGAAAACTCAAATCGGTGAAATGAACGAGAGCTAAAATGACCTAACTTGTGTTGGCCTGTTTTTGCCTTTTTGGGCATCAAAGGATATGGCGGGAAAGATTGTATTTCCGATTTTTTTTAATTTATTTTTTAAATAATTAAATCGAATACAAATCGACAGATAACCCCTGCAAACTCCGACCAGTCTCGTTTCTTGCGATTTTGACGTTACTCTTTTCCCCGCCATTTCACCCAGTTTCTCATCTCAAAAATGGAGTCTACTCTCAAAGTAAGCATTTGCTACTAATATTGATTTTCATTTGCTCGTTGTTCCTCTACCAGTTAGGGTTGATCATTTCCAAGTTTTCTTTTTGCTGCATTTCGAGTTCTCTTTTAAGTCTGATGGTTTCGTTGCGAATGGTGTGGATTTTCTTGGTTTCAGAATTTCTTTGGGTTTTCTTCGTTCCGACCGTATCAGAAGGAAGTTATCGAGAAAATTCTGGAAAAAAGGGACTGTTTGGTGGTCATGGCCACTGGGAGCGGAAAGTCCTTGTGGTAAAGCTTAACCTATTTCAGATTTCCTTTTTTTTTTTTTTTGATTTTCTATGTAGTTCCGATTCTTAATGTTATGAATTTTGACACTCGCAAGATTTTTTGTTGAATTTCCAAACAGCTATCAGGTGCCTCCTTTGGTCGTCGGAAAGACCGGAGTCATTGTGAGTCCGCTTATTTCCTTGATGCAAGATCAGGTAAAAGTGTGTTTGTTGATTGACATATTCTCATCATTGTTGATTCATTTTCACTTCAAGATTGAAAACATTTCGGGTTTTTGTTAATTAGGTTATGGCTTTGAAACAACGGGGCATCAAAGCCGAGTTTCTTGGAAGCGCTCAGACCGATTCGTCGGTCCAGACAAAAGCCGAGGGTGGTTATTTCAACATCTTGTTTATGACTCCGGAAAAGGCATGCCTGATTCCCAAGAGGTAATCCTCTGCATTATATTTATCAATTTGGCAATGATCTTGGAGCTACATGCTTCAAACTGTTGTTTCTAGACACTTCCTGCAATGGCTGGGCCTTTTTCAGAATGAACATTAGCAAGGCATCAAGGGTTGGTAGGCTAGAATCCTAGAACTTAGATACTTTGACAATACGTTCCAAGCGGTTTCTGAGGTGTGCTGTATATGAGGTATACAAAATGAGCTTATCCACATTTTTATATCAGCTCTAGAAATGGAAATATTTAGAAGTCTTGTCTGGAAGTGCATGGAAATGAGTTTGTTTGTAGACTTGCAAAATTATGAGTTATAGGACATGCAAGTTCATGTTATGCGACATCATTCCACCGTAAATGATTTATTTTGACACAAACGGGTGTTCTAATTATTTTGTTTGATCTTTCAGCTTCTGGTCAAATTTGCTTAATGTGGGAATTTGTCTCTTTGCTGTTGATGAAGCACATTGCATATCAGAGTGGGGGCATGACTTCAGGTTATTGATACTTGCTTGTTACTTGTTTGATTGCGCTTCTGGCCTGTGATTTTTTTTTTGGTTGCACGTATCCACTGTCATTGACACTAAAAAACTTGAGCAACATGGTCAGTGTGGCCATCCAGGCCACTAGATAGTTGATGAGTTTTGGATGTATATTGATATATCAAATTTAAGTGGCCCTGTCTGTTTTTCAGAGGCAGGATACTAGTTTCTTGGTTCTCACCTTATCAAGAATTAACCTTCTCTGAAATTCCTTGGACCATTTCATGTGAATTTCATATCTTTGTTATCACTAATATTGCCTTCTTCAATTAGTGACTGACTTGTAGCATTACTTATTTCATTAGTTATTAGGCTTCTCTTCTCAGTGTGATTTCTTGTGGTTTTGGCCGTTAACCATGCAAAATTTTTCTTATTCAAATTAATATCAAATTATTGATCGTTTGCCTTTATTCTGTTCATGATAGGTTTTGTTGGTGTTCAAACCATATTGTTGCCTAGTATTGTTTTATCCTTGTACCTGGTGCTGTATTTACTTATTTCTGTTTTGTCATCTTCCCATGTTCAACGTCTGATGAATTCTCCTACTGGGTTCTTAGGGTGGAATACAAGCAACTAGATAAGTTGCGCAGCATTCTGTATGATGTTCCATTTGTTGCCTTGACTGCAACTGCCACTGAAAAGTATGTTTCTTTCTCTCTTCTTCCATCCTTATTATTGACCATCTATTTTGTGACTTGAAGTATGTTTTTTTTCTCTCTTCCTCCCTCTCTCTATATTCACTAACTATTTTGGTGACTTGACTGTAAGTTTTACTATCTTTGCCTGACCCTACAACTTGTAAATTTCATGACCTGGTGGAAGAGGCCTTTGGTTTTTCTTATCTATAAGTTTTCACTTTTTTTAACCCATTATTTCAGGGTTCGGCATGATATTATGAGTTCTTTAAAGATGAATGCTCCCTATGTTTCCATTGGCTCGTTTGACCGCAAAAATCTCTTCTATGGTGTCAAGCCTTTTAATCGCGGTCAATCATCTGTAGATGAGCTTGTTCAAGAAATTATGAAATTTGTAGCTAGTTCTGGTTCAACCATTGTTTATTGCACAACCATTAAGGATGTCGAGCAGGTATATTATTCTTTCTTTTTTTTCTTTCTCTTTCTTTTTCTCCCTTTGGATGGGATCTTTTATCCGCCTTTTTAGGTAATTTATTTATGTTTTCAATGCAAAATCTATGCTTATCACGACTTGCTTTCTTAGAATTTGCTTGTTTTGGCTATGTTGAGGCCTTCATCTTGTTCATAATTGTATCTCTTAGTTACTGATTTGTTATATTCTCTTTTTCTCATCTTTTCTTAGATATTCAACTCCCTTCTGGAGGTGGGTATTAAGGCCGGAATTTATCATGGACAAATGGGTAGTAAAGCTCGTGCTGAGACCCACAGGTTCCATCTCTATTAGATGATATTTATAGTAGCTTTCTTTGCTTCTCATGTCATCTATACAATTATGGACAATTGCACCTCCCTTTCTTGCATTGCATTAAGCATGCAATAGTGCTTGTCATACATAACTAATGTAGGCTTTTGTATTTCTTTCTAGAATGTTTGTAAGAGATGAGCTGCAAGTTATGGTTGCCACGATTGCTTTTGGCATGGGAATTGATAAGCCAGATATAAGGCAAGTAATACACTATGGTTGCCCCAAGAGTTTAGAATGCTATTACCAGGGAAGTGGACGTTGTGGGAGAGATGGCATCGCATCTGTTTGTTGGCTTTATTACACAATGAGTGACTTTACAAAAGCTGACTTCTATTGTGCAGAATCACAAACAGTAAGTATTGTTTTCTCTCAGAGAATTTGCTTCATCACTCCCGAATTAGTTGGTTGCCTCATATACAGGTTAAGTAAACTAAATTTGTGTACTGGGAATTTTTCTCGACAATCCTGCAATTCATTTTATTAATTCCTGTGAGAGTACTTATGGATGCTGTTCACCAGGCAAATCAACGAAAAGCTGTTATGGAGTCTTTGATGGCTGCAAAACGCTATTGCGTACTGACGACTTGCAGGAGAAACTTCTTGCTTCAACATTTTGGGGAGAATTTTTCAGCTGATAAATGTGGTTCGGTTTTGCTTGAGTTTATTGAGTTTGTCCATTTCCAGCTTTCCTGTTGGATTCTAGTTGTTTTTGTGCACTTCTGTAAATTAGTGAATCATATTATTTGTTTGATGATAATCACATCTCTCTAGATAAGCCTATAACTTAGTTAGACAAGTAATTTAAACAACAACAACAACAACAAGCCTTAATCCCAACTTAATTGGGGTCGGCTATATGGATTTCACTTTTCCACACGGCTCTATTCGAACTTAAACTTTCCTGAAAGCCTAGATCTAGAATGTCTTTCCTAACGACTTCGGTCCATGTAATTCTTGGTATACCCCTCCCTCTCCTAGTATTAGGTATAAGAATGTCCTCTCAAGCACGAACTGGTGCTTCTAGTGGTCTACATTGGACATGCCTGAACCACCTCAAACGGCCTTCGCACACCTTATCTTCTATTGGTGCTACACTTACTTTACTACGAATAACTTCATTCTTTATGCGATCCATTTTCGTATGGGCACTCATTCATCTTAACATATGCATTTCTGCCACACTCATCTTGGATATATGTTGTCTCTTAATGGCCCAGCATTCACTACCATATAACATAGCTGGGCGGATTACAGTCTTATAGAACTTTCCTTTCAACTTAATAGGCATCTTGCCATCACATAAAACTCCCGTAGTATTTTTCTACTTAACCCACCCTGCCTTAATTCTATATTGAATATCCTCTTCTATATCTCCTTCGTACTGCACTATAGACCCAAGGTACTTAAACTTCCTAGAAGCTCCAATCTTCACACCATCTAAAGAAATTCCATCACTCTGATTACTTGAGTTACTAAACCTACAATGCATGTATTCAATTTTCATCCTACTTAACTTAAATCCCTTCGTCTCGAGAGTCTGTCTCCGCAGTTCTAACTTACGGTTAACTCCTTCCCTATGTTCATCAACTAAAACTATATCATCCGCAAAAAGCATACACCAAGGAACTCTATCTTGGATTTCTCTTGTCAGCTCATCCATCATTATGGTGAAAAGATAAGGACCAAGAGCAAATCTTTAATGAAGGCCGATCCGAATGGGGAACTCTGTCGTGTAGCCTCCAGCAGTTCTCACACTCGTGACTGCCCCATCGTACATGTCCTTAATTACCTTAATATACCTCACATGCACTCCTCTCTTTTTTAGCACCCACCATAAAACTTTCCTCGGCACCCTATCATATGCCTTTTCTAAATTTATAAAGACCATATATAGGTCCTTCTTGGCTTCTCTATACCTTTCCATCAGCATCCTAAGAATAAAAATGGCTTCTGTGGTTGATCTTCTTAGCATAAAGCTAAATTGGTTACCTGAGATGGTAGTTGTGGCCCTTAATCGCCTTTCGATAACTCTCTCCCAAAGTTTCATAGTGTGGCTTATTAACTTTATGCCCCTATAATTGTTACAATTTATCACATCTTCTTTATTCTTGAAGATGGGGACAAGAATATTTTTTCTCCATGCATCAGGCATATGCTTCTTCTTTAGTATCTCATTAAAAAGCTTAGTGAGCCACACAATTCCAGCATCTCCTAACGCCATCCAAACCTCTATTGGAATATCATCTAGCCCACATGCCTTCTCCTTTTTCATCTTCCGTAGTGCAGTTTTAACTTCCGAGACTCTGATTCCTTTTGTATACATCACATTAGGTTCTCCTTGTGACCTAAGATTGTCAAACTCTATCGCATGATCATTGTTGACGGTCAAATTTCGTCAACAAAAAACCGGCCGGGTTACCTCTTGGTTTCCCTTTGGATTACAGGCCTGTGTGTGTAGTGAACGTATGAGAATTTTTTGAATATGTGTGTTTATGTGTTTAACTAAATTAAGCATGGACAAAACAACACAAGAAATTTTATAGTGGTTCACTCTATGAAATTAGAGTTACATCCACTGTGATTTTGTATTTTTTTTGAGAAGATCATAATTTACAACAATTGCTCTCATTAAATCTCTTTTCTTTTTTGAACCTCTGGACCCTCTTCTTACTGGGGGTCTTCCTCCTTTTATACTGGGCTTCTTTCGCTTAGGGGGTTTCCTTCATAGTTGAAAGCACTCAAGTGCTTCCTTGGTAGGCCCAGACGTAGCCCACTAATCAACACTGTTCACTCAGCCAATTAGTCTCCTATTACGGCTCTGTGTTTCTTCGTAATGCTTTCCTGTCCCCTGTGGGGCGGTTTGAGGGCTTGCAATTAATGCCTGCAGACGTCTTCCACTTTTGCACGCAATCCGTCACGTCCTTTAAAGAACGTTCCCCTCGTCGTCAGCGCTGCTTAGCCCAATCGCCCAATTTGGCGGTTACTTCTGCGGTTGAGGGATCTCCTCGCCTTAATCTCGACGGTGCGATCTGTCGACGCCATAAAGAAGCGTCGCCCACCATTTGGACTTCGTGCTTTGGGCTTTCCAGTGGAATAGGAGGGAAACGTAGACGTCGAGGGTTGTCTCTTGGCGGAGAGTAGTCAAGGCCACGTGTCGCATTACCGTTCGTCCACGTGTCTGTCATATTTTCCCACACGACAGCTACCCCCCAGGTCGAGGGCTCCTTTTAGGCGGCCTCGAGCTTAGGTTCGGTTGTCCTTCCGTGCTTTGGGTGTGGGAAACCGGTCCCGAGCCTTCGCCCGCAATGATGGCCTGGGCGCTTCGGATTTCCTTCAGGGGACGCAACCGTCGCGTCGGTTGATTTCTCATGATGATGTACGGCCTTTATTTCGAAATGACGAATATGGACCCTTGGATCGCGACCTCTCGGTTCCCGGTCCTATTTTATCACCGTCAGATCCGGGCATGATTCCCTTGCCGTTGGATTTCAAAGTCTTCATCCAACGGTCAGGGTAGAGGATGTCCGTTTCTTTAAATACCCTCTGCGAACTCGAGAGCCATTTTTTCAAAACTTCAGACTCTCTTCGCACCTGTTGAACTGCTGCCTTCTTCGTCGGAATCTTTCCTCTCCAACCTCTGGTTCGTGCTTCTTGCTCTTCGAGGCGTATCGCGAAGCCGTTCTTTCTTCAAGACTTTTCCGGGAACCCTTCTTTACCGGTAAGCCTTTCCACCCTCTGTTCTGTTTTGTTTTTTCGCTATGTGTATGTATATATAAAAAATGTGCGGAATGTAGGAGTTAGGGAAGGTTACCTCTAGATTCTCCTAGTGCTTCCTTTGCCACTTTTTTAATGCAGCTGGCCATGGCATCCCACATAGTATTTACATCACCTACATATGACTAAGTAGCCTCATCTAACAACTTCTCTTTAAAGGCCAATTGCTTCATTCCCTTCAAATGCCACCAACGAGTTCGTGAGAGGTGGTTTATCTTAATCCTTCTAAGCAAAGCTTAATGCTCACATCTAAGATCACTAACCTATGTTGGGTGGCTAGTACTTCTCCAGGAATTACTTTACAATTCTTACATAGAGAACGATTTTTATACTTGGTGAGAAAATATTCTATCTGGCTTAAGTTCCTTCTATTCTTAAAAGTTATCAAGTGAGAATCTCTTTTCTTGAAAAATATGTTTGTTATGATAAAATCATGTCCCAACGCAAATTCCAAAATAGATTTCCCTTCTTCGTTTCGAGCTCCAAAACCAAAACCACCATGGATCCTTTCGAAATTTTCCCTATCCTTACCAACATGCCCATTGAAATCTCCTCCAATGAAAATGCTATCCTCATTGCCTATATGACACACTAAGTCATCCATGTCTTCCTAGAACTTGACTTTAGTTTCCGCATCTAATCCTATTTGTGGAGCGTACGCATTAATTACATAGATGAACTTATTTCCTAGTACCAATTTGAGCATTATAATTATATCCTCCTATTCGCTTAATCTCAACTACGTCATCCTTCACAGTTTTGTCCACTAGAATACCAACTCCGTTGCGATTCCTTTCCCAACCTGCATACCATAACTTGTGTCCTAAATTTCTAATCTCCTTTGCTTTCTCTCATGTCCACTTCGTTTCTTGTAAGTGTAGAAAGTAGTCGACCCTTGTATTTAGTTAGGAAGTTATTTATTTTCTTAGAATAGATTCCAGTTTCTATAGTTTTAGTTTATGTTTTTCCTTAATTAGATTTTGTAGTTTCCGGTTTTCCTATTTTGGTGGAATTCTTGATTTTCAGGGATTCTATTTCCCTTTCTCGGTGGACTGGTTTGTCAGCCACCCTAGTCTATATATTAGGTTGTATATCGTTATTTTGATAATAAGAATAATCCGAATTATTCCATTGATTTCTTCATGGTATCAGAGCCCTAGGTTTCTGAACCCTAATCCGTTCCAAACATCTCTTTCCCTTGCCGTACTCTCACCATGACAAAATACGGCATGGCATCACAATCCTCTTCCTCGGAAATCACTTCTAGATCCGAGCCTAATTCTTCAGCCCCTATTATCCCTGATTCTTCCTCTCATCTTGTCACAAATCATAAACTTCATGGCCATAATTTTCTTCAATGGTCACAGTCCGTTTTTATGTACATCTGCGGCAAAGGGAAGGATGAACATCTCACAGGCGAAATCTCTGCTCTAGAAACAACAGATCCGAAATACTGGGCCTGGAAAACTGATGATCACTTGGTTATGTCATGGCTAATAAATTCCATGACCACAGAGGTTGGAGAAAACTTTCTGCTCTACAGGACAGCCAAAGAGATATGGGAGGCTGCTCGTGAAACATATTCCAGCACTGAGAATTCCTCAGAGTTGTTTGAGATTGAGACCAAATTATATGATCTATGACAGGGAGAATCGAGTGTTACTCAATATTTCAACACTCTCACACGCTGTTGGCTGCAATTGGACATGTACGAGATTTATTCTTGGAAATGCCTTGATGACTTTGCCTTGCATAGGAAGATTGTTGAACAAAAAAGAACCATCGGATTTCTTCTTGGCCTCAATAAAGACCTAGACGAAGTCAAGGGGAGAATCATGGGGATTAAACCTCTTCCAACTATTCGGGAGG